TACATATATATGTATATATATAATATATAAATATATGTAATATATAAATGTATATATTTTATATATATATGTATTTTATCTATATCTATATCTATATCTATCTATCTATCTATCTATCTATCTATTTAGATTTTTGCAACAGGGCATGTACGCTTCCAGAGAGACAGAGAGGGAAAGTGAGAAATCACTCACCTCTCAAGGAAGCATGGTCAAACTGCAATTCCTTCTCTTCCATTCTCTTCTTGGGATTTTGAGTATTTACATATGTGTTTCACTGGGTCCAGGACTTGAACCATGAAGCTGGTCCTGTGGGATCCAACACCTTAACCAACATGCCATATGCTGGCCTCTGCTTTATGTTTTTCTTAATTGTTTAATTTATCTTTATATTCCTAGTACCTTTTATAGTGCCTGGTGTACCTGGGAACTCAGAATGGTTTTCTTTCTTTTTTCTTTCTCTCTCTCTCTCTCTTTCTTTCTTTTTGAGAGAGTTTTGGCTACAGTGTGCATGCACTTACCAGAGAGACAGAGAGAGAGAAAGCTAGAAATCCCCCCCCCCCCCCTTGAGGGGGGATGTCCACACCACAGTCTCTTCTCTTCCATTCTCCTGTTGAGATTTTAGGCACACCCGCACAAGTACCCAGTGTAAGTTTTAAGCCGCCAGGTCCAGGACTTGAGCCATGGAGTTGAATGCGGAGTCCAGTGAAGTAATCATTACGCCATCTACTGGTCCCATTCAGAATGATTTTTACTGGAAATATAAACCAGTGTTAACAGTGAACTTAATTGCTGTGGCTGGGAGCAAGTCCAGGTTTGGCTTTTTTATGTTATTAGAACTAACTAGCCACAGTCACCTCTGGTTGGGAGAGCCCCAGTTTATCGTGACAATTTGACTTGAGATCCAAATCTATTGGAATAGAGTCAGCCAGGAACAGGGGGACTGTGTAAAGAGCACCATGGTATGAGGTGGAAAGACTTGGGGACACAGAACCCCTCCCATCCTTGACCCTGGCCCTGGAATAACCGGATCTAAGATCCATTTTCCTTAGCTGAATTGTCCCTTCAGCTCTACCTTCCTCAGAATTTCAAAATCTCCTTTCTTTGAAGATTATCTTAACAATATAACTGAAACAGCAAGTTAAGTTATCCTTAGGGTATTAAGAAAGACCAATTATCTGGCTTCTTAAAATGTAAAGCATGTAAAAAAATGTTCAAAAGGAAACTCAGAGAAAATATTATGATAGTAACTTTTCATGTGTTGCCCTTTCCGTAAAAATTAAACTGAGTTTTTTAAAATATTACCCATGTAGGCAATTTTCTCCTTTATTTTGGGACAGATTAATAAGGCCATACTTTCTGTAGTCACTGGACGGTCAGTGAGCAAGGCTGTTATTTAAAGGGTCCTCCAAGAGTTCAAGAGCCTGGACACACCTGGGTCAGCCTTACCCATATCTGCCTCCTGTAAAAGCTGATCTCTGAGAGCCAGCGGGTGGCATAATGGTGAAGGTGCTGGTTTTTCACATGGCTAACTGCAGTTTGATCCTGGACATGGTGGCTTAAGAATCTCAACAAATAAATAGTTAGACAAATAAATAAATAAATGTTAACAAAACCCCAAAACAAAACAAAACAAAAACCTGATCTCTGGAGGATGCTCACCCCATCTGCTTTATTTTCATCAATACTGTTGAGGTGGGCAGGAAAGGGGATGCCAGATTCTAGGTAGCTGCCTGAGGCTATTGTTTGTACTTCAAGAATTGGCCACTTTCCTTCAGGGCCTCGTTTTTTTCTTCTTATGAAAGGGGCTGAACTCCTTAGCCTTTATCATTTATAAGGCTCAAGTATCAGGTTCAGGAAAATCCTCAAAGGATTTACGGTGATGACATAGACAGGCAATCAAAGAGAGTCTATATATTTGTGCCTACTTTTAATCTTTGTGTATATTTTCTAAACTTATTTATTTTTATTTAATTGCCAGAGGGTGTGTGCGCTGGGTAGCTAGAGAGAGAGAGAAACAGAAAGAGAGAAAGGCCCCTCCCCCATAGGGCATGGTCACGCTGCAATCCCTTCTACATTTCTCCATCCTGTCATGATCTCACATGTGCCTAGCATGTTTTTCAAGTTGCAAGAGCTGAGGAAAGGACTCTACTGAGTCAGCTTTTATAGTAGGGAAAGTGGACAGCAGTTGGTAGGAGTAATCACCAGACAGAGGCTTAATCTAGTGAGAACTCAGGGCAAAAGAGGACTTTACCCCGAAGTCTTATCAGCCACTTGGGGCAGGTTACAGGACTGGCCCTACATTTTCTAAATGTAGACCATGGGTGCTAGTGAGTCTGACACCTTTATATTTTGTTTTGAGAAACCTAAGTGTAAGCCTCAGTCTAATTCTAAGAACAAGACGCTGATGTGGTCTGAAGATCAATTTGAAGGGCTACATTCATGCTTTGAAGGGCTACATTCATACTTTGAAGGACGTTCTTGTTTCTTTAAGCATGGGGATCCAGCTGGGCTGGCCCAAGTGGTAGGGTCTGCCTTGCCAGAGCCATGGGGAAGACTGCAGTGTGAATTCTGGGTTGACTGGAAATACATGAGGACCTGTGTCTCCACCCCGTTATCCTGACTTACTGGAAGGCTGAGAATGGGCAGGGATTGAGTCTCTCTTTCTCTCATGGTCTTAGCAAAATGAACAAAGAGAAAAGAGTGGAAATTGTCAGGAAAATGGTAATGGTAGTGGAACTCAAAATAAATAAAATGTAAGGGGCAAGTAAACATTTTTAACAAATGGCTTTATTCTTAAAGAGCTGTTAGCAGTATATATTCCTAAGGAAGTGATAGAATCATCTCATATAAAGCTTGATTATCTCAGAATGATTTGTGTATGGTCAAGTCTGACGCTAAAGGAGGATTCCGTGACTCTCTAGGCCCTGTGGAGATTTGAAGGAAGGCCAGAAAGAACCGACCTGTATTCGGTTTGACCACATGGGGGCGATGTTCACTACACCTAAACTGATGAAGACTTTTTTTCCTCCCTCACCAGTATAAGATAGTAACTTCTCACATATTACCCTAAACTGAGTTTTAAAATATTACTAATGCAGCCAATTTTCTCCATTATTTTTGGGACAGATTAACAAGGCCATGGTTTCTGTATCCATATGTACCACTAGCGATGACCTACCTGCCTGTTGTTTTACTATATATGTAGAAAAGGCCAGATCCAGAGGGTTTGCAGGACTGGGGAATAAGGTGAATCAGATGCGCTAATTGACCTGGTATCTGGAGGAAGGAAATTTTATTTGGGTAGGTAATGTGTCCTAACTCAGTCTGCAAGGCTGTTTGTATCTATTTCTTCCCAGAGACTTTTGGGAACAGAGACGTTGAGAAATTATTTTTTGTTGTTACTTTCATTTTAATTATAATTATTATTTTTATGCTAGAGGGCACATGTATGAGAGAGAGAGAGAAAAAGCACCCCCAACAAGGCCTGGTCATGCTGCAACCCGTTTCCCTCCAGTTCCCTGT